CATCTATACGCTTATATATACCAGTTCCTATAAAGCACAAAGATTGGTAATCGATTTTCGTGAGAAGAATAAAAAAAGAAAAAGAAGAGAGAAAGCGAAAAAAAGAACGAAATTAATAATCTAAGCCGCAAAGTTTAACGGCTTTTTGACGTGACAACGACCAGGTGCAATGAATAGAAGAAAAATTGCCAGCTAATTTACCATGGGAGCATAGATTTTTGCATCTCACTAATAACATAACTAAATAAATAAATTATATTCATATACACATTTAACTATTTATTTATATTTATACTTTTATTTATATTTGTATTCATATTCATATTTGTAAATTATATTTATATTTATATGTCATAAGTATGCAAATAAGACATTAATTGGGAGCTTATTTATTACATCTCAGAAAAAAACTCATTACTAACAACAAAAATCCTCGTCACTTATGTAACGAACAATGAAATTCCACAAACAAACAACGAAACTATTAGAGAGCCCCTCGTATGTTTAGGGCTTCGGCACCAGTAACTGCATCAGCCTCGCTATATCAAATTGCATATCACGGTCACTTTAATTCACAACGATTTTACACAACTAAATAGTTCATGTTTTCCTGAGGTTTCACAGAAAATTAAATTAACAAAACAATTTTTCTTAGGTTTCGCTATAACTTTCCCTTCCTCTATTTTCCTTCAACTCCGTCCAATCCCTTGCAGCTTGTACATTCAACAACATACAGCACCAAATTTTTCAATTTTAATACTTATCCTCTCCAGAAAAATGAGTGAGAAACTTGAAAAAATTAAATGCAAAGAACTGTTCAATCTTTCCGCATTTTTTTAAAAATTCTTTGAAACTACTTCCTGTTGGTTACAATATAAGTTTTAAAAAATAAAGCGTGAGAATATATTTTTATCCCACCTTAAAATACACAGTTTTGCAGAATGAAAAAAGCAATACAGGAACTCGAATACCTGTACAGATATAACATTACAACAGCAGTAATAACAAAAGTTACCTTAAAAAATATTAAATTTAAAAAGAAAGTAATCTGCATAGCGTCTTTAAGATGAAAAAAAAAAGAACAACTTTCTTCTTTTTGTCGAAAAACAATTAGAGATAAATGCTGTTCCAGCTAGCTTTAGAAAAATCATATTTCTAACTATCCCACGCATGCCTACCAGTATTAACCAAACTAAATGCCACAATAAGTAACCCCTCCAAACAGGATACCGCATACACTGAGGACAGTTGTTAAGCTACAGCTATTCAATCTATTTAGTTATATAGTCATCTAGCTATCTATTTGTCCATCTAACCATTTATCAATCTATCTATCGCTCTCTTCTGTTCGACGTATTATGAAGAAATCCTATTTTTCTATCAAAATCCATCTAAGTTTTTGTTCAGTTCTCTTAACATTCATTGGAGATAGATGATTAAACATTCACTAACGTGTTCTCTCCCCTTATTCCTCGTTAGACTTTTCGATATGTTACGTACACACTGTTACACCTTACATGTAAAAATTAATAATACTGACAAAAAAAGAAGTTCAGTCAAGTCTAAACACTTAAGTCAAAACGATGTAAGAACAAAAAGTTGTTGATTTAAAAGGCTCAGAATAAAGAAAGAAAAACATAGACCGTAACAACAAACCCCACAATAGCTTCAGCCTCAAAAATCACAACAACCAGACCGTCATTTTTCTCAAACCAAATAACTCATTAGTCGGCCAGCTAGATTACTCGTTATTTGGCTGGCTAGCTACCAATATCAATACTAATGACGACAACAGAGGTAAGTATGAAACACTCATCTCACCGACTGTTCCATCCATTTCACATTTCCCTCCAATGATTCTGCTAATATAAGACATTTAATGCTAAATTATTTACAGACTTGCTTTTGCGCCGATGTTAAACTTTAAAAAAAATACATAAATAATAAAAAAATGAAAATCAAAAAGTCCTTTACAAATCAAAAAATTACAAAAACCTCTTCAACCTTCTCAATTCTTAAAAACTAAAAGCATTACTTTATATCAATCGCTTTAAGAAATGCTACTTCTTCATCACAGCCTAACACGTAGAGAAGCGGAAAACGAAAAAAGGATGAGGCAAGACCTAAAGAGAGTCCTGTAGCCTTCAAAAAACGTCAAACGTTTACACGTCTTTTGTTTATGGTGCTTTTAATTATAATAAAATCCTTTCTTGTTCCACTTTAATTTTTTTGCAATAAAACTACTTTTCTTGTCAAATATGAAAATTGTATGAAGCTTTTCATCACAATAATTTACAAAATAGCCACAAATTCTGTCAAACAGATCTTAATCTGCACCAAAAAACGTCACATTAATTTACTTCAGTAACTTTCGATGAATATTCTCTTATTTCTTGTTACTTATTGCCCGCCCACTTTGTTGCTACCTAAATTCACCTTACTCTTTAGGAACACTCGTTACCAGCATCATACTCCTTGTCAAAAAACCTGATGCAGCCTTGAAAACCACATTTTTACATGCCCCTTTCTGAACCACGTCGTATTCCTTCTCAAACTCCGTTTTTCTATAAATCAAGGACGTTTTTTGGCAACGAACAACTGCATATCTTTCTGTAAACCGTAAATGACAGAATTCAACGCTTTATTTCTTAACTTCAAATATTCCTTCTCAGCCACTTAAAAATTTCCCTTTATAACCAAAACCCATCAGAAAACCTTAGCTCAGGTCAAGTTGTTAAATCACCCGTTACAACACTAGGTGAAGTTCAAAACCTACCTTCGCTCACAAGCCAGACAACTAAGAAAAAAAACCTACACATCTTTAAAAACAACAATTAATTTGAAGGTAGAAAAATCTTAGCAATGAGATGCTAGATGAATAAACAGTAAAAAACACAACTAGCTTCAACTGAGGTATTGTACGTATTACCACTTGTGAAGACATTTAAAATCCAAGCAGTGTAAAAGAAACACGGATCGAAGAAATCAAAAAATAGAATATTTTGAAATATCCTTTAAACAATAACAAAAATAAAAATAATAACAAATAAATAAAGTGATGTAATTCTTTTAAAAAAAGTGAGTTTCTCCTTTCAAATAAATAAATCTAATTTGGTTAACTGTAAAAAGACTAATTTAAAAAAATAGAGAAAAATCTTCCAAATGTTAAAATGCTTTTTTGTTTTCTTCAACTCTGTTGATCTCGACAGCAAATTTATTGTTACTGTCAGCTATAAAGACAATGAAGTTATGAAGACGTCTCGTAAAGCCAACGCTTTCAATTCTGATCGATGCTATGATAAAAAAACAAGAAGTAAATGACTTGTAAAATGACTAACTCGACGGGTAGACTGGCGATGATGCCATTTGTTGAGGCTGACTAGTGATATATGCCCGAACAGGTACCGCTTGACCGGCCTAAAAGTAACGAAAAATATTTGGATTTATTCTCTGTAATCCACCTAAAATCCGAAGTGTATTTTTAAATCAGATTTCTTAGCAAAGCCTACAGGTATTTTTATATGATACCTCTCCAAATATACTTCCTATAAAGATCGGTAGAAATAAAAAGTTCAAATGGCTATTACAAGAAAATACAGAAGAAAAGAAAAATAAAAAATTTACATAAGATGAAAAGGCACAGATAAATTGAACTCCTTTGTGAAAATCCATTTTCAGAAACCCAATAAAACAATAAGAACAACAGCAAAACCGCTGTTTAGACACATAAAAAAAAAGTAAAACAAGAAAAAAGGTAGCATCAAACGAAATGGCATACATATCTTCAACGAGTCATTAAAGGTGATGGGCAAGTATAAATTGTGAACATCACCGTAACATATTTGCTATTTTAAATTATATCAAATACTTCACCTCGTCCCTCTCGCTGTCTTCCATTTTAAATGTATAACCCATAAACGCAAGAATAAGTCGAACAAGACGAAAGAAAAAAAAAAAACAGAATAAAAAAAATTAAAAAAAAACCAAGATAAAATATGAAAGTAAATGGACAAATAAACAAATAAAACGAAACTGAGTTGAACAAAGAAAGCTAAAAAGCTAAAAAAGCTAAAAAACAAACCAATTTACAATCCAGTCATTTCGACCCCTCTCCCTCTCCTCTGCGACTCCCCTTTCCATTCTTTCTCTACCCTCTTGCGCTGACAAAACTAAACTCAAAAAAACGGCCTTAGTCTGAAATCCGAGTGAGAAAATATCCAAACAGCAAATGTAGATTAAATTTTCTTCCTCGTCTTCAAGATATTAACTACAAATACAACACAGACTTTCGAATGCTCACAGACGGGGAGACCGAGAGGGGTAAGCACTAAGACATTTGCTGGCTGATATTTGTGTGCATATACTCGACGAAAAGAACCTGTTCAAAAAGTATTATTCTTATTACCGCAAACTGCCTCAACTACAAACATTTAATTAAAAGTTTCTGCAAAAATGAAAAAACTCCTTTCCTTCAGTGTTTAATCTCAAAAAATAAAAAATAAAAAGATAAAAAATAAACAAATAGAAGCTTTTGCCCTCTTTCGACTTCTGTCATAAACAAATATATTGAAAAATCTAAGTTATAAACAGAAGTAAAAAGAAAAATCCCGTAATATAAAACAACAAAAAATTTAAAAAACAGAAAGAAACATTCCAAATGAAAAACAATGTATTGCCTTTTCTGAAAGAAACTTTCTTCTTTTAAACCCCCTTCAAATTTCATCAACAGCCCGTGCTACATAACTCGGGAAATAAGCGAGGAAAAAATAGAAATAAATTTGTTGATAAAGATTACCACAGGCGATTAATAAAAATCTGAATTAAAAACCTAAATTTCATAACAACTAAGCCCTTCTTCGCCAAACCGCCTCATTAATTCCCCCAGCTGCAACTGTCCCTTGAAAAATCTCACCTTCTGCCATCCTAAAACAGAAAACTCGAAGTTACAAGTTGCAAACCGACAGGAGGTTGCTTAAACAAAAGTAGAACAAATTCCAGTTGGAATGTACAAAAATTTAGAAAATTCAACAATAACTGAACTCCTTTCCAGAGCAAAAAAAAAAAAAAAA